AGTGATGGCAGATAGATAGTTTCTGGTAAATGTATCAGCTACAGTGTCCTGCTTGCCAGGGCGATAGATGGTGTCATAGTGGAAACACGAGAGTTCTAGTTTCCACCTCTGGATTTTTTCATTTTTTGTTTTTCCTTTGTTTGACCTGTTATACATGAAAGAGACAGATCGCTGATTCGTAACAAGTGTGAACGCTTTACCAACTAAGAAATGTTTCCATTTCCTCAACGACTCAACAATGGCATATGCTTCTTTCTCAACTGAAGAATATTTTCTTTCACTTTTTGTTAATGAGCGAGAGAAGAAAGCAACGCGTCGGCCATCTTGGTTGAGGATAGCTGCAATGGCTATATCAGATGCATCCGTCTCAACGGTTAAAGGGCGATTCGGATCAATAGTATATACGGCGGCTTTTTCAAGCTTATCTTTCAAACTTTTAAATGTTCTTTTGACTTCTCCGGAGACAGGAAATTGTTGATTTCTTGTTAACAGGCTAATTTTTGTTGAAAAGTTAGGTATCCACTGTGAGTAGAAAGCCAGAAGACCCACTACTCGTTTCTGTTCACGCATGTTCACTGGTACGGGTAATTCCCTTAGAGCGCGAAATCTCTCAGGATCCGGCTTAAGTTGCCCTTTGGAAATCTCGTATCCTAACAGTCTCACTTTAGCAGTTCTAATTTCACTTTTTGTTTCATTAAAAGTGATTCCATACTTTTGAGCACTATCAAGAAATCGCTGTAGGTTTCGGTCGTGTGATTCACTCAGAGTCCATACCGCAGATGGTCACATTGTCCACATAAGCAAAAGTGTCAGTGAGTCGTTCGTCTTCGATGATTTTGTCAATCGTACGCTGAAAACAGGCGACTCCATTCGTAACGTCAAACGGAATTGATACAGTTTCCCACATGTTTCGAAGGCTGTGAACAGCCTTTCCTGTTCTTGTACAGGAATCTGATGGTATGCACTTTTCAGGTCTAAAGTGCTATATACAGAGTACTGGAAAATCTTTTCAGCTAGTTAGTCAATTCTGGGCATAGGATAGGCGTCTAGTTGAGTGAACCGGTTTATGGTTTGGCTGTAGTCTATAACCATTCTTTTCTTATGTCTGTCATTTGTTGTGACTAGGACTTGTGCACGCCAGGGAGATTTAGATGGTTCAATAATTTCATCCATTATTAGTTGTTGATTTACCTTCTCTATAAACTTTCTATCTGGAATTGAGTATCTGCGAGACCTTGTAGCCACTGGAGTACAGTTTGATGACATTAATAAATAGGCTAGGAGCTTCTACCCTCGCTGGCTGGAGAGTATTCAGGCACAACGATGGTTTCTGACAGTGGAGTTACATTAGTTTTGAGACTAGTGTTACATTAGTTTAAGACTGGTGTTACATTAGCTTTGAGACTGGTGTTACATACCTACCATGGTCTTGAAACTCTAGCGTTCGGGCGACACACCATTTGTCGGGAAACGTCTGTTCATAGAACACAGTTTGGATCTAGTACTGGAATTTGGAAATCCAACAATAAATTGTAGAAATATAAATATACAATTATTTTACTCTAGCTTAAGTATAAATAATGAAGTAATATAAATTTGACAGAATAAAGACACTTTTTTTTTTCAAAAAGAAAAAAAAAGTTTTCTGTGTCCTTGGTATTGTTACGTATCTAGGTAACAATGCCTAGATACTATTTTTTCTCTTGACCTGTAGGTTGTCTGCCCCTTGTGTAATAAGTTTTTTTTTATTTTATTCTTCAAGAGTCAAGCCACACAGACAGTGACCGGTCCTTGACCTGTGTGTGTACCTCTGGTTGAAAGGAGGGTGTTTTTTTTTCTTTTCTTCTGTCTCTTTGAAGAGCGTTCTAGATCTGGGTGTTGATGACTTTTTGTTCTAGAAATTACTAGATATCGACGCGCGGTAGATTATATAAAGACCGCTCGCGTTACGTTGACGGACAGACATACGGAGACAGCCGTGAGACAGAATAGCGGAGACATTGCGTGACCCGTGCGTGGTATACCAATTGATCGTGTAAGTTAAGATTTTTCTTTTTTTTCAAGGCCTTGCTTGTATTTGTAATTATATTTTCAAACTCTTGTATTGTAATATTTTTACATGCCATTTTTGTAAAAGGGTTTTGGTCAACCCTTCCATTTTGTATTGAGTTATATTATGATTAAACATTAAGTTGATATTTTACCTTCCGATTTCTTGTGTCATTTTTTGTTTGTTATTCATTGTAAGTCTCTGATTAAATTCAGACTTAAGATAAGTGACACAACTACCTTTTTCTATTGTCACGTTCCCCTAGGCAAGCCATTTAAAAGTAGAATTCAATTTGTAATACGTGACAGTATAAAAAAAGGAAAATTTCAGATCTTGTGATCTATGGGGCAATGATGTAAAGGTGATCGGTTGCTATGGCCCACCGTTAACGAGGGTGTCATGTGGCTAGCACAATGATCAACGGTTAAGCAAAGTCAGGTACCTATTAGAGCTGGGTAGACTTAGACTTAGAGGTGCACTAAGATCCCGAAAATAAAAATCCCAGTCTTCACCAGGATTCGAACCCTGGACCTCCGGTTCGGAAGTCAAGAGCTTTACCACTCTGTCACCGCGCCCGCTGTCCTTTTTATAACTTAATAAAAAGTGTGTTTTTTTTAATATGCAAAGTAAACCTAATCTTTTCTTACTTTGATCTTCTGATATAGCTGTTCGTCAAACATGTTGGGAAAAGTAACTGCAACAAATGTTATCACTATTAATATACGCCATTTTCAATCCTTTTGTTTTTAAAAATACAAACATTTGTCATACAAATATAATACAAAATAATACTTCAAATTGCACATGGTGCAGCGAGGGTTGTCCCAGCACACACAGTCTGGCTCCATGCGCTCCGGTCGTTGGCTATGTTTTCCCACATACTTTCGCTGATGCCTGTGGCTCTCATGTATCGCTTGCAGACATCTCTATATGTTAGTCTTGGGCGGCCCTTGGGTCTGACTCCTTCCTCAAGCTCAGCATATAAGATATCTTTCGGGATTCTACCATCTTGCATGCGGGTGACATGTCCGACCAGCGTAGTCTTCTTTGTGTCAGGAGAGCATACATGCTTTCATATTGGCCAATCTCAAAACTTCCTGATTGGAGACATGGTTCCTCCAAGAAATGCCCATTATGCGTCTCAGGCAGCGCAAGTGGAAGCTATTCAATCTGTGCTCTTGGTACATGTATGCTGACCAGCTTTCACTGCCATAAAGAAGAGTGCTCACAACACAGGCGTTGTAGACTAGGATTTTGGTCGCTGTGGTCAATTTAGCATTTCCCAGACGCGCATAAAATTAGTAAATTTTAAAAAAGTAAAGTTTCCCTTTTCTATAGGGCAGATAATGTTAAGGTCACCTGTTTCTTTAGCCAACGGTTAACGAGCAGGGAATTTTGTGGCCAGCACAAGGACCAAACGCCTTTACTTTTTCCTAAATAAAGTCAGGTAATTAGAGTTGGGTGCCCTACAAATCCCGAAATTCAAAATCCTAGACTTATCCGAGACTCGAACCGAGGACCCCTCGAAAGTCAAGCATATGAATTTCTCTTATTTGCTTTGTTTACAATAAATACACATCCTACATAATCCTCAATATAGTCTTACACTAAATCGCTTTTTAAATTGTTATATCTATTTTGTTTCGCTTTTTTTTTTCTAAATATACACATCCTAAAATACAAATTCAAAGATGTATTGAAAAGCCATAGAGTGGAAGTCAAATGCTCATTCCATATTAAAATAGAAATCTAGTAGAAACATAAAGGCAGCGAACAAGAAGTTTACTTTCATTTAAATTACATACGTAATACAGTTCGCCCATCATGGTTCGATGATAGCCCCTTTGCCATCCAGGGGGCTGAGGGCTTTGCACAGAGGTTTTGTGTATACATCTCTAATGAACTAGAATAACAGATTATCCTCCTTCGTGATCCAAGATGAGCACATTCCTCATATCCTATGGACTCGAAGCTTGTAGACAAATGTAGTTTGTTCATTACTCTTCCCCCACATTTCTTTTTTTTTTTGGGGGGGGGGGGGGGATATGGGAAAGATTTTCATTTGGTTCATTTATTTGAACTGTATTTTTTAACCTAGCTACAAACATCTTCATTATTTTTTTTTCCATTACGCTAAATTTCAATAATTAACTCTATCTCACAGTAATTATTTTCCGCGCTCCAAAGGAATTGTTCAATTTTCCCATTTGTATTTCACAAGCCTGTCAGGGTTAAACTTCGAAATGTTCTTTTTTTTATAGAACACAAATCAAAGTTAAGGAACCAAAAGTTAAGTTAATTTAATGAGGTCAAATCAAACAGAAGAGAAAGAGTTTATAATAATCTTTCATTGTGTCATGTTATTTGTGAATGTATCCACTGAGATCATTTTGTTATTTTTTAAAAATTGATTGTACTTTCTATATGTGTGTAATTTTTAAATTTTTTTATTTTTTTTAAACAAGCTACACGTGTTTGCAATATATTTAATTATATAATATAATAAAAATTAATACAATATAATTAAATAACAAACAAAAGACGGATAATTTCATTCATTTAATATCTCATAATTTGTAGACATTTTCAAAACAATAGAACATGAGTGGTCGAGTGTCACGTATTACGAATTGAATTCTATATCTATTCTAATTTTAATTGGCTTGCCTAGGGGAACGTGACAATAGAAAAAGCAGTTGTGTCACTTATCTTAAGTCTGAATTCAACCAAAGACTTACAATGAATAACAAAAAAAATGACACAAGAAATCGGAAGGTAAAATATCAACTTAATGTTTAATAAAATATAAATCAAATAGTACTTTTAAATGAATCACATAAAGTTACAAGCAAGAAAAACAAACATTTACTCAATACAGAATTGATGGGTTGACCAAACCCTTTTACAAAAATGGCATGTAAAAATATTACAATTCAAGAGTTTTAAAATTATAACTACAAATACAAGCAAGGCCTTGAAAAAGAAAAAATCTTAACTTACACTATCATTAGGTATACCACGCAGGGGTCACGCAATGTCTCCGCTATTCTGTCTCACGGCTGTCTCCGTATGTCTTGTCCGTCTCAACGTTACACGGGCGGTCTTTATATAGTCTACCGCGCGTCGAGATCAAGACCAATCTAGTAGTTTCTAGAATACTACTTGAGAACAGAACAAGTGATCAACCAGACAGAGCTAGAACCTTCTCTAAAGAGACGGAAAAATAAACACCCTCTTTTTACCCAGAGGTACACACATAGGTCAAGGACCGGTCACACTGTCCGTGTTGCTTGACTCGCCGCTGCTAATAAAATAAAATTAAAAAAAAAACTTATTACACAAAGGGGCAGACCGCCTCGGGAATTTTCTACCCGTCTCTCGACCGCAACAGGTCAAGAAACAAAAAAGAAAAAAAACAAAAAAACAATAGTAAATAGGTAACAATGCCTAGATATGTAACATCGAGATATTACAATTCATTTAATATCTAATAATTTGTAGACATTTTCAAAACAATAAAATATAAGCGGTCAAGAAATTACAATTCATTTAATATCTAATAATTTGTAGACATTTTCAAAACAATAAAATATAACCGGTCAAGAAATTTACAATTCATTACATATCTAATAATTTGTAGACATTTTCAAAACAATAAAACATTAGTGGTCAAGAATATACAATTCATTTAATATCTAATAATGTGTAGACATTTTCAAAACAATAAAATATAAGCGGTAAAGAAATTACAATTCATTTAATATCTAATAATGTGTAGACATTTTCAAAACAATAGAACATGAGTGGTCCAGATATTACAATTCATTTAATATCTAATAATTTGTAGACATTTTTAAAACAATAAAATATAAGGGGTCAAGAAATTACAATTTATTTAATATCTAATAATTTGTAGACATTTTCAAAACAATTAAACATGTGTGGTCAAGAAATTACAATTCATTTAATATCTAATAATTTGTAGACATTTTCAAAACAATAAAACATTAGTGGTCAAGAATATACAATTCATTTAATATCTAATAATGTGTAGACATTTTCAAAGCAAAAAAACATGAGTGGTCAATTCATTTAATATCTAATACATTTGTAGACATTTTCAAAGCAATAAAACTTGAGTGGTCAAGAAATTACAATTCATTTCAATGTTAAATTACTGATTTTATTTCTTTCTCTTCCTTGATAACACTATGGCCTGAGGGGGAACAAAAAAAGATGAACTGCAAACTGCTTATGGGTCACCAGCTCCTGATTTTTCCTCAGGGAGGACTCTCAATTCTCATGCTGGAGTATGGTTGTAAGGCAGCAGAGGTTTGAACCCTTCATCTAGTTTGGTAGCCGGTCAAAGCCTTCCTGCATGAAGCTTACTGGTTTAAGTTACTCATGTTAATGACATTAGTTCTGGCAGACCCAATATCTGAGCCGCACATGAAGGCCAGGAGTTGGGCTGATTGTCAAAGGCTATTAGAGATGCATGCCATTAAGAAGCATTTTATATTCTTACCAGTGACAAAAATGAATTGGTATTAAATAAAATAAGGAATTACAGAATTACAAAAATGAAGACAGAATAAAAAAAATTCCTTGATTTAAGCAGAATGCAATGATTAAAATTAGAACAAGCATTACTAACAATGTTTTACCATTGAATTAATCATTAATAATTATTAAAACAATAAAAAGCTGGCATATGTAACACAAGCAATCTAAATTTTTTATAAAAAACAGTGTTCACCAGAAGTGTCAGTCTTTAATTTGTGTCATTTTTCACAAGAAGGAATACTGCACATAACTTGTGAATTCAAAAATTGTGTAACCATACTAAGGTATTTTCTTCTTTTAAACACATAAAAACATAAATCCTTTAAAAAAATGATAGTACATTTGACACTGAAAATTTCGATCAGTAAAAAACAGATTTCACTTATGTATTTAGACAGTTAGCCAAGACTGTTGTCCAGGGTGTGGCACGAGGAGCCATACATGAGCTAGGTAAATGGGAATTTTAAGCTTTTGACTATTCTAAAGAATATTGTTGTCAAGTCACCTTTAAGGCTTCTGACTATTCTAAAGAATATGGCTGTCAATTCACTTTTCCCATCACCCTACACCCCATGTCACAAACAGTCTGTCTCCCTAAATGTTGCGAATGATGCGAGGTCAATATGTGTCACAGAGATCAATATGTGTCACAGAGGTCAACATACACACATACACTAAGTCACCAACAAAACCTTGGATATGTTAACAAACATTAACAGAAAAAGTTGAAGAAGAACAAAACTAGACACAAACAAGATGACATATAACATTAAAATAGGGTCTAATAACTTAAAACTAATTCCACCTTAATCACAGCATCTCAGTGACATGCTGAGTTCTCTATGGACGACTTCATCAATTCTTGCTAAGACTTGAAATGGGAACAACCTCATCTGAAAGTATACTTTCAAACTCAAAGAATAAGAACTATTATCATAGAGATTAAAACCAAAAAACTACAATAGATTATAGAACTAAACTAGAAGAAAAACAACTAAATCCACAAAACATAAACTGGACATGTCTTGGTCAACATACACTAAGTCACGGTGGAAGTGTATTGTCAGATCAAAATTCAGTATGTCACTAGGTCAACATAGAAAAAAGTAATCTAATCTTAATTAAATAGGAAAAAGTAATTTAATCTTAACTAAATAGGAAAAAGTAGTCTAATCTTAATTAAATAGGAAAAAGTTATTTAATCTTAACTAAATAGGAAAAAGTAATCTAATCTTAATTAAATAGGAAAAAGTAATTTAATCTTAACTAAATAGGAAAAAGTAGTCTAATCTTAATTAAATAGGAAAAAGTTATTTAATCTTAACTAAATAGGAAAAAGTAATCTAATCTTAATTAAATAGGAAAAAGTTATTTAATCTTAACTAAATAGGAAAAAGTAATCTAATCTTAACTGAATAGAAAAAAGTAACAGGGAGAAATAGAGTTTAGTTTGAAATCAACAGAAAGATTGGAAAACAGAATGACACACAAATGTTAAGGAAATTGAGAAACACTTAAGAGTTCTTATCTATTCTGTGTTTTTTTCATAACCTTCAGAGGTCCCCATCCAAAATACTGGTGCATAAGTAACTTTACCAGCAGGAATCTTAAACCCTCTATAAGATATTGATAAACCTAAAGCAGTGCTCAGCCAGATGGTCAGGCACCAGCCAATCAATGGTCATCTTCTTGAGAAAGTATAAGTTCATACATCATGCACTACAAACAACACTTACCATGGCCACTGATGGGTGAGGAATGATTACATGCTGAGGACACCCAAATTTTGGACATCTTGAATTGTCACCTGGCACCGAGTATGTGGTGGGCACGTGTCAGGTGAAATATATTTTGTTTTTGTTGTTCAACATTCATGCCCTTTTTTTTTTTATTTTAAATTAAATCACCAAATCCCAAGTCACATTCAAGTCTGTTTCCATTGACAGCCTTTTTAGTTACATTATACCAATAAATAGAAAATAAATATGGAATAAATTAAATGGCTGCTAAAATTAGAATTCTCAAGTTTGAATCCTAATAGTGGTTAGTAATTTTAATTCATGATTGAAGTTAAGATGTTTTTCAAGCATTTAAATTCAGCAGAAAATATTCTCACAAGTTTCCTTTCAACTAAAATGTTAAAGAGCTCCTGTCAGAACTCACATTACAAGCTTGCAGCCCAAAAGAAAAATTCAAATGTAAATGTTTTACAAAAACATGGTCTGGACAATGACAGCAAGCAGTTAGATTTATGTTCTAGAAATTTTATTAAGTCCTTAAAATAAATTTTTGTAATTATGTATTTATTTCTATGATTTAGAATTTAGACTAATCACATTAAATTCTCACTGTAAGAAAAAAAAAATTAGAAGTACAAAATGAGAATGTGAAAAGTTTCCCGATAACAAAGAAAGAAGTATAGAATAGATCATGTTGAAAGGGAATTCCTTGAAAATAACAGAAACAGCAAATCAGAAAAAGTAATCAAGAAAAAAACACTGAGTAAAGTTCTAATATGATGACATGTTTAATATTTATGAATAAATCTAGGAAGTAAATGTCTTTTAGTAGATAGGCTAAAATTTAAAATGCTGAAGACATTCTTTCCTTTGAGAAGTGCTCAGCATGACAAAACTAAAACTAGAGAAAAGAAATTAATGTTGAAAGAAAATGTCATGAAAATAAAAGAAATACTGAAAATCAAAGCAAATCTTTTTAGAAAATCAAACAAGGAGGATATGTAAGGAGGAAATGCTTTAATAAATCAATATATCTAGAAAGTACATGATTCTTATTAGGTGGATAGTAAGGCTAAAATAAAAGTATTTTAGAATTAACTGGCCTTGAACTATTTTTTTATCAGTAAGAACTTTTGATAGTCAAGAAAGTAAGAAAGAACTAAAGTAACAATTCTCTTCAATAGGGTAGTGCAGAATAGCGCAGATAGTCATGAAAGGTGATTAATGGACTTTAGACATTTTCTAATTTAGTTCTAAAAATACCAATAAATGTCCACACCCTAAAGAAAAGCAGAAAATTAATTCAGACATTTTTTATATTTATTGAATAAACTAGTCCTCCAGCTAAGACCTGTGGGTTTTGAAATAAATATTCTGTTTCACAATTTTTTTTCTTTTAGAAAAAAAAAAGAATCACTTGATCTTTGCATAAACTTCATCAGGTCAGCACTTTAAGTGCATAGCTCCTAGCTTTCATAAAGACTTTTTAGTTTTGGCTCTTAATAAATATATTTCAATTGATTTTGTCCATCTTTATTTTAACTTGATTAGCTTCAAATGCATTGAGCCCCAAAAGGACTTGTTCAACTTCTGTAGTTGTTATTATGTATATTTCAATTTATTTTCTCAAGTCTTTATTTTAACTTGATCGGCTTTGTATGCACTGAGCCCTCAAAAGGACCTGTTTAACTTCTGTAGTTGTCTTAATTATTCAAAAGAGATGTACACATCAGTTAAGACAAAACTAACAAAAAACTGTTGTAATGTTATAATGTTGCATTATGATGATAGACTGGATCTTTATCAGTTTTTTCTGTAAGGGTGGGAAGCGTGGTCGAGAGGCTAAGTGTGCTTGAACTTGGCTTGGCTACCTAATAGGGGGCTCAAGGTTCGACACCCAACTCGGGCTGAGTTGTGTTTACTGAGCGCCTAAAGGCAGCACGGAAAACTAACTCCTAGATACCCCCTGCCCCCCACCGATCCACAAATGAGATTGGACCAAAAGCGCTCTGAGCAAGCATGAAAGTAGCGCTATATAAAAGCTATAATAATAATAAGGGAAAGTATGCTCTATATGGGTCACTTAAATAAAATAAATTATGATCCTTATAAGGCCATAGTGTTTAAGTTAGAACTACTCCTCCCCAAGAGAAGAAAAGATCAACAAAGAATCTGTCAAACAGTAAAAAATTTTAAAAATACTGAAGTTAGCAGTTGTAATAAATAGAATAATTAACTCAGATTTGAAATATAGTTTATGGCATAATGATAGAAACAAGGCCATTTCAATCAGCAGAAATGATCCTAAAAAGGCAATATTCTTCTTTTAAAGTCTAAGTTGATCAGAACCACTCCTCCCCAAGAGAAGAAAAGATCAACAAAGAGTCAGTCAAAGAGGACAAATAATAAAAGGATGTAAATAGTAATAATAAATCAAATGATTAGTTTAGTTTTGAAATAAGGCACAGAAACAAATCAGCCAATTCACCTACAAGAAAACATTGAGAAGATTGAATAGATTAAAATTCACATATACAAACAATATATATTATCTAATCTGCATTTAAAGAACTCTTACAGACAAGAGTCAAAACAGATATTGAAATGCTGAAAGGCTTTAATCTATCAAGAACAAAGTTTATCATCAAACATGCAATTCTGACAGCCAAATACTAAAATTCAGAATAAAAGAACAATACTCCATGTTAAACTGTTTTATCATTTTAGAGTTTATAGTTAGATCTGACTGCAAGCAAAAGGACTGAGGCAGTCATAGACAAGAGGAAAGAGGCAATCAGCACAGCAATTATCTGTATGCACCCATTGTTTTTCAAGACACACTAGAGAACTGTTTTAGTTCTGTTAAGAATCCTCAGTAAAAATTTCATTTAACTTTTTTTTGAAAGAACTAAATACAAAAAAATGTAATAGAAAAGTCTAATGACAATGATATAGTAAACCATGTTATTAAATCCACTATATCTAATAAATTAAATGCCTTAAAAACAATAATTTAAGTCTGATTGTTCATTGAATGCTTTCATAAATGTACTCATAAGTTGCCGTTTTGAAAAATAAAATAGCTTGTTCATATAATAAAATAAACCAAACCAAACAATAAAGTAAAACAAACTTCTATTGTCTGATTATGGTTAGAAAAACATCAATTTTGCTGCCTGATGACATTATGATGATTGTCCAATAACTGTATCAGAATTAAGAGACCCTTAGGGCTTGCAAAGATTTTTTTGTAGAGAAAAAGGAGAGGCAATCAGAAGAAGCAATAGACTATTAGACAGGTGAAGGTGAGTTGGTCAGAACACCCTCTGAAATGATGTCCACAGACTAATGGACAGGTGAAGGTGAGTTGGTCAGAACACCCTCTGAAATGATGTCCACAGACTAATGAACAGGTGAAGGTGAGTTGGTCAGAACACCCTCTGAAATGATGTCCACAGACTAATGAACAGGTGAGGGTGAGTTGGTCAGAACACCCTCAGAAATGATGTCCACAAACTAATGGACAGATGAAGGTGAATTGGTCAGAACACCCTCTGAAATGATGTCCACAGACTAATGAACAGGTGAATGTAAGTTGATCAGAACACCCTCTGAAATGATGTCCACCAGACTAATGGACAGGTGAAGGTGAGTTGGTCAGAACACCCTCTGAAATGATGTCCACAGAATAATGGACAGGTATAGCTCATTTCATGCTCTTAAATAATGCTTAAAATAATTCACATTTAAGTTCTTATAGCTAACAATGAAAAAGTATTAGGATTCAAACTTTATTCAGTCTTAAACCTAATGGCTCTACCCTATGAGTAATTATTTTTTGTCATCATTAAGAGCATTTAATTATTAAATTCTAGCTCTTACTTACAAAATACTATTTTAACAAGAAGTTGAATTTTTTTCTCTTTAATAATAAAGCATTTTCTTTGGGTCTAAGGAGGGCAATATTTCCTGTGGCTAGACAGACCCAGTTGTGATCTACATATTTTATTTCACCTCTAATGTAGAAAAGCCATTTCCTACTCATTAATATGCATTTCTCAATTTACAAACATTCACAAAATAGTTTACAAATTCGATTTTGAGACCTGTTGTAAACATCATCTTTTTTTTTCTGTACCTTTCTCACATAACACTGATATTGGAGAATTTTTTTTTTTTTACAGAGGTCAAATTGCTAAATTCTCTATTGAATGGTGTTTCAAATCATTCAATAATTAATGCTTGATTTAGGTTT